CAATCAGAATATACGGAAGCAGTTTTTACATCCACTATATAATTTAGTTATGCTGTTTGTCCCTCTTTGAAGTTAAATTACTTGTGAAAATAACTCTCTTGTTTTCTCATGCATCACATGAACACAATTTAGGTTTACAGCTCTAACAGCTTGAGAAAAATGAGCATTGTGTTATTGCTTCCTGGTTAAACCCCTGTTTCTAAACGTATCGAGGCCAAACACACACTAAGCCATACGAAGTCTACACGGAACAGCGCTACTCTACAGTTAGCAACACGAGACGTCATTCTACACATCTGTTCATGCAAAGTCTAACGTAGCTAACTATCTAACTACTGCACACAAAAACAGAATATATCTGTCCTCAAAGAACGATTCCTGCCACAAGCCTCTGAGAGTTACTTTATACGCCAGCAGACATACAACATGCACAACACTGTAAGCTAACATGAACACACAGGCAGCACAAACAGCGCATCACTCTCCCCTCTTGTACCCTGCCTCAGTCCACTCAGTGAGTTTTGTTATGGAACTTGCCAAGGATTATGTAGATGAATGTATATATACGTGTGATCTATTGGTGATGAGTCACACCACAACAACTGCTACAGACAAGTGTTATGCTCGTAGTCAGGTTTTTCAACACTTTGATTTGAGAACGATCGTCAAGTTATACCCACGTGATAGGTAGTGTTCTGGGCGTCTGGTCGATTCAGTGCGGATGTTATCTGAATGGTTAAGTTAGAGTTATACACCGAAAGTGTTGGTGTTGTTTCATGCATGGTGTATAATAAAGGTGTGTTCAGTCTTGTTTGTGGAAATGTTGAAGTGTGGTTTGTCGAGAGGGTAGAGTGTACACTACTATTGGTTGGTATTATAGCGTTAGGGAGAGCATAGATGCTACGCAAGGTCATATCAGGACGACAGTGATACTACACAGGTGAGTAAAATGAAAGGCGAGGGTAAAGACAGGCAGTGAGGGATATACAACAGAGGGGAGTAGACCGGGGTGAGGTGGCAGGAGCGTTGCTGGGGGGAGGCATCACCGGAAGTGACGAGGCAAAGAGGGAGATAGTCGTAGGGCTGAGATGGCGGCATACCGGAAAGAGTCTGTTTAGTGATTTTGGTTCTGTAAAGTCACAAAAAAATATGTCCGAACATCTGGAGTCTGGTAAGTGAGGCGAGGGGAGCTGAGGGGCCGCTGGAGAATGCATTGGAGGGAGGTCCGGATGGTGACTAGTAATCCCTGTAAGGAAGGAAGGAAGGAAGATCATCATTATTGGGTGAAGTATAGTATTGTGGTGTTTTGGGATTTTCTGCTATTTAACCTTAACATCTATCCTCACAGTTTTAAAGCATGAGTTATCTTAATTTTTCTTAACGTATTATTTCTTTAAGTAATTCAATCAATCTTTATTTAGTTTTCCATTAAAAGTGGACTTCATGTTAAACTCAAAACTGATTAAAAAATATTCATTTTAAATGAACGAGCCTTCCTGAAAGCACTATAGCCCTTTAAAACAATGAATGCACTTTCATTGTTATAAAGACACTTAGTCAGTGCTTTTCGTCCAGACATGAATGGCTTACTTAATAACATTGAAATATTTGACTGGATGAAAATCATAATTGTCAGATATGAGAACTTTTTGTCAATCATCTATTATGGGAGGGAGTTGAGCAATGTCCTGGATGCTAAATCAGTGGAATACTCTTTTGGGTCTAAACTAATGAACGTAACCCTCTCGTTCTTTACCCATGTAGCAATACATGCACTTAAAGGCCTCATTATTGGGCCATGTACTAGAGGAGTACAGCGCAGTCACCACCAGGAAGTAATTAAGAACATTGAAATACCTGAATAAGAGGAGAGTAAACATATTAAATGTGGACCTATCATGCTATATTGAAACATATATTGTAGGGCCATACCTATATATAAACGATCGGAGTAGGATATGGAAGTAGTTACAAAGAGAGTACTCAGATACCAGGATCATTCGAGTATTGTATGTGTCCATAGAGCCGGTCGCGAGGAGAGCGAAGCCAGAGTAGTGCTTCGTATTTCCAGGAGCTAGACTATTCTGCTTTTGTGTGCGAGGATCTATCAGCGCCGACTTACAGGCCGTGGTCGAGTATGTACCTACAGCGTCCTCCAGCGGCGTTCGAGCGGTCCTCATTCCTCTGATAGAAGTAATGGTCTGTATGTTAACCACATTTGTAACTTGTACGTACATATTAAACTAACAACAGTATGAGATAGATTCAGGTGGGTAATGGGCGTTGCCGATCCGAAGTCAACCGTCATTGTATGATGGAGATACTTCAGGTATGGAGAAAATACGTAGAGGGTTTGTTGTTGACACTTGGTGAGTCCCATGAACACCGGGGACACATATGTCATGTACTAAAAGATGTACAAAAAGTGCATTCTTGCAGATAGGTCCCCTTTAACTTACATTTTAACACTGAAGAGGTACTTTAATACGTTCTTGGCCTGCACTTGGTCAAAAGTCTCACACATAGATTTGAGTTGACTGAGCTGCTTTTTTAAATGATCTGCTTTTAATCCCAGCAGCAACCAAACCTGTTTTCTACACTCTCCTCCCTCCCCACCCTGCTGACTTCCCCCATATTCCTCCCTGCAAGAAAAAAGGGGAAAAGCGATGAAAATTTAGACAGTAAAAAAGTGAGGTGAGTGGCTGAGCAGGGAAAGAAGAGGTGTTGGCAAGGGTGGAAGGGGTCGTCAAGCACCAATGGGTAGTCCTAACCCTTCACTTTCCTCCAGCCCTGATGTAACCAAAGCAGTTGAGAGCAAAAAGACCATGCTTTAGCTTGACTCAACCTTATTATCAATGCCGGCAAGACTTCCAGGGGGTTCAAGTTAGTGGATTAGAGTTATACAGCAGGTAAGTGACTCCACGGAGCACAGGCCCTTGTCAGCCTGAGCAGCCTGCATGAAGCCATTTTGGTGCATGCCACGCTATATAGGCTTATCTGACGTAATGGAGATGAGCAGCTCTAAATATGTCAACTTAACGGCTGCACAGGGAGCTACATGGTTAAAAAGGAGCAAGTTTTAGTAATGGGAAGGTGATGACTTCTCTTCGGTTACAGGTATGAAGAAGCTCCAGGGAACAACAGCCTGGCTCAGTGAGATGTTGAAGATGTTCTGTGAGGACAATATTGCTCACAAAGACATCAGGTGATTTTGTTACATTTGACTGTCAATGGATCATTTATCCAAAGCCCCAAATACTGAAGGAATCTTTCAATTCATATTTGGGAAGCATCATTGCATCTTCTGTTCCTCTTGACACTCACTTTGTCTCACTTGGGCTATTTAGCTAATACACACCATTTCCACCTGTTCATAGTGCACACCATTTCATGTTTTCTAAAACAACACAGTCCTGCAATAAAGCATGAGGGATTCTGCAGGAAAAGTCCGATGTATTGCAGGTTTATTGGATTAGACTGTAAAGGTGCACATAACAAAACGGATAACTTGGTGCATGTAGCATGCAGAGTAACCCCATATGAATCTCTTTCCCCCCAGACCAAGGCATGACCTATGACCCCACACTGCTCTGTCCAATATGCACCTCGTATACAAGGCTCCTCCTATCAGGGAAACACAGATGAAACAAAGACAACACAAACAACAAATGTTGAGAATAACAGCGACACAGAAAAACACAAAACACAGAAGCATAACCAAAGCATTATAACAAAAAAGCACCACTCAGAAAAACTGAAAACTATCGGTGAGACATGCAGGAAAAACACACAATTTAGATGTGAAAGCCATCTAACATCTGACAAGGTTTGACAACAAAACAGGAACATAAGGAGGGCCATCAGGGTTAATTGTCACAAATGGAACAAATATTTCATAATAATAATTGTTCAAAGTAAGCTTTTATGGATACATAACATTTTGAGACGGGGTTAAAAACAGTAATGCATTGACAATTATTTTACATCTCCCTGTTGTTATTTTTTGTGCTGAAAGAATTAAAAATCTTCATAATAAATGTATTATTTAAGTAGTTCTGGACTGATAAATTGATCTTTGCAGATATTTCGGTATCACTGTGTGTTGGCCGATAAGTTGAAAAAAATCATACAATTCAGTAAAAGGCCACAACGGAGCTCCTTCTATACGGGCTATACAGTTTAGTCATATCTCAAGAGGAAGTGCCAAATATTCTTTTTCTACAACTCAGGTAAATAAATAGATGGATGAAGTTCACCCTGATAAGTAAGAGCAGAACCATCAAGCGATGTCTGTGCTCATTTATGTTTAAGCACTGCTTTATGTTGTTAGATGTCTTTGTTAGTAAGAGAAGACACTAGAAAAAGAGATTCCTTTTACATTCTGCAGCTCTGATGTGTTACAACAGTGAAACAGCTCTATCTAGTGGCTAACCTTTAATCAGCACCATCACCTGAAATCAATGTTTCCAAGTAGGATTTCTGTCTTAACTTTTTAAAGAATGTTTTTTTTTTGGTAGCTATTTGTTGCCATGGTGACTGACCTGGTTGACCATCCCAGTTGACGCTGCAACGTTCTCGACCCCCTCCACGTTCCCCTGTGACACTTCGTTGGCCCCGGCAGCCGCTGTGTCTCCAACAATATTGGCCTGGTCCACGGTCCTGTTGGCCACTGAGAGGCAGAGGGGAGGACAGTTAGTGAGACACAGGCACATTCTGAACAGCCACAAAACACACAAATGACCCACATCACCCTTTTTGTGACTATGGCTGAGTCAAAACCTGCATACTGTACACTACATACCCAATATTAATACAAATGTGAAATTATCTGATCTTTTATTTTATTTATGGCCATTAGAAGCAGTTATTTAACGGTTTTCAATGTTGATTAAAAAATAACCATATCTATCATCCTTAAATGGATCTGTTGTAACGTGCCCAGAGCCAACAAGGAGCTCATTGCACACACTTTGTAGAAAGGGGCACAAGTAATTGTTTCTTTTGTTTTTGAAAAAAACAAATACTTCAAATATTGAACAGATTGATTTGGCAAATGAACGTCTGGGCTGGTTAGTCAGGCCACATCTGGTAAAGAGAGGTTTCCTAAGCTGTGGACAAACAAACCCCAAATTAAGCTATTTAAATACTTCATTTGGATTTAGACGTTGGTCTCTTCTTGGTTAAAGATTGCCAACACTTAAAATCAGAAACCACCGGAAGACATTTGTCTACCCGCTTCCCCTGAGCCTCACAAATAAAACTGGCGGGTACACAGCTTTACTCACCTGTGTTTACTGATGACACAACTCCCTCCTTTGTCTTACTGCCTGGAAATCAAAGAGAGATTACAATCAGATCAATTTACATTACTCACTAATGATATTCTTATGTTTTTTTATGTTGTGTATCTTTTTATGTGCATATTTTCATTATTTGGGTTATTTTTCATTTTGCGTATCTGTATTATTAGAATTACATTTGGGTTATTTGATCAGAAAAAGCACTCTTGCACACTTATCTGATGAATTGATCATTAGTAATAACTGATATGTGATGTTACCTGATGATAACATGAACCTGTTAGTTTCACCCATTTACTTCAACAATTAAATTTTTTGATGTATATTCAAACACACTTTAGTTGCCACAGAGTTATAGAGAGATTGTATAGGTTCACCTTACCTTTCAAAAACACTCCAAAGATTCTGATTATGCTGAGGGCGTTGGGTCAGCAGTATCCATTGCTTTTTCTAAAAATACATTTAAAGACTTGGTGTCCTCTCAGTGGGTCTGATGGGTCTCCCTGGTTTTTATAACTGCTGAACATGTTTTTTTTGTCTACTTAAACTTATACTTTTTATGTTATCGAAACCTTGATAACTCAGAGTTATGTGTGTCAGAGCTTTAGTTATATTAATTATTTATTGATGGACATTTGAGTAGAAAACATCCTGTGATGAGCAGCGCCTCTCTGCGATTCCCTCTCTGATCAGCAGCACTATGCTCATTATAGTATGATCCCAAGCAGATTAAAGGGCGGTTACATAACGTGCCAGAGAGAGGGATAGAAGGAGGGGAATATCTGCTATGAAAGGGAATCATGGGAGGAAGGCAGGAAGTGAGGACGGGGAAGAACAAATCTGCAGAATGACATGATTTGGTGCACACTGACTGTTCCCATTTGAACACAGGCGCTGCCATTTACAGTATCCTACCTCTACCCGTCCTCCCTGCCTCCCTCCATCGCTCGGCACGCTCCCAGTGCTATGAGCCACGTGCCTGAGTACTGAGCAGTACTGCAGCACATTCAAGCTCACACACACACACACACACACACACACACACACACACACACACACACACACACACACACACACACACACACACACACACACACACACACACACACACACACACACCATATCTACTACTACTACGTACGTACGGTACGTACTTAACGTTACGTTAACGTTAACTTAACGTTAACGTTAAGTTAGTAGTACGTACGTTAACGTTAAACGTTAAACGT